GAGAGAGGGAGAGAGACAGAGAGCGAACTCGCGCGCGGAAATTTTCCCTTCGTCACAGTTGTACCCTCGAAAACAACGAAGCGTTGTGCCCTCCTTTGCCAGGGGGACCTATGACAGGTGTTGCCGGGGGATCTAACACTTTGCAGTACGCATGTTAGCCCTTTAGGGTACTACGTAGTCGCTGTGCCTTTGTCTTTGCAAGGACAAATGTGGTCCCATCAGCAACAGTGCAGTCCCTGTTACATCTCGTAAGGGGGACGTTGGTTTTCCTGAAGTTGGGGTTTTCGTGACTATTTTTGGGGTTTGCAAATCCACACAGAGAGCTGCGAGATGACTATGTGGACGTTTCGAAGCTACCACAGCGTACGTCGGGGGATGCAGTATTTTGTGTTTGCCTTGTACTCCTTTACGCTATATCTTGGAGGATGCGGTGTTGTGCTTGATTTTTTGTCCAACCACCCCGCGATGTACACAGTCTTCAAGCATGATGACCCAAACCGTGTGCCGGGGATTACCTACTAGTTCTCCTTAACTCGAATACCCGTGTGCACACACACACAAATTCGAGAAGGTGTCCCAAAGTCCTTGTACTGAGCCTGTATCGGGGGAGTCTTGCCTGTTCACGTAGCTCACAGTTTGGTTCATAGGAAACCCGATACTCCGGCTACCTTTTCACACCCTCCCGAAAGCCCCATGAAACGTGGGGGGCCAAGAAGCCGGGGCGTCTGACACGCCCCCTATGCCCTCGGGAAGAAGAAGAGAGCTCGCCCGAAGGGGTAGGTGACCGCCTGCCTCTTCTGCCTGAGAGAGAGAGAGAGAGAGAACAAGAGAGAGAGCGCGTCCGCGCGCGGGGGAGTGGGGCTTGCCCTGCTTCTCCTGTCCCGGTAGAGAGAGAGAGAGAGAGAACAAGAGAGAGACTTGTTGGCAGGGGATGAGGCAACCTTCCGAAGGTGGCAGCATCCGATTTCGCATGCATCGCTTCGTGTCCACTCCAATCCGGTGATGCTCTATTCCATGTGCACATCTTGACAGGTATCGGACAGCGGAGTTGAAGCACGGCAGAGTTGTTCGTTTCTCAGCCGTCGCAGACCCTTGAAGGAAATAGACATGGACGTCACAGTAGTCCCCCAGGCCATGATGGCTGCTCTCGGTGCTGTGTTCCAGCATTACGTGACCTTTCCTGGGTGCCGCCTTTGCATTGCTGAAAAGCTGGGCCTGGTTTCGAGTTCGCTAGAACTGCCTGAGGTTTGGCGATGTGCCTCGCGGAATCGAAGCCATCTCGTCTGGACCGGGTGGCGTGGGCTTCCTTCTCCTCATAGCACTCGGAGGCTTATGCAAAACCCACACACTGCTCCAGCCCATGGATGCAACGAGACCGTTGGCAGGTTACCTGGAGACGGGGAAGTTCAAGCAACAGGAGGGAAAAGAGGTGCGCAGAGTACAGATCTCACAGATTTTGACCTATTTTGACGCGTCCAGCGACCTGTCTTCCAGCCTGGCGACTTTGGCGACCCGTTGGGCCTTGTTGAAAAGAACGTCGGGCAGTAGCTTGGATGCAGAAATACTGGTTCATGGTCCAATCTCGTGCCATGCTAGCGGCGGTCAGGTACGACACCGAATGGCGGAACCGAGAAATCAACAATGGGCGCTTTGCCATGTTTGCTGCGATTGGAATCATCGCTGCCGAGAATGAAACAGGCACCGTGGCGTGACAGGCTGAAGTCCAAAAAAGGGCAGATCTGAATGCTTCAATGCATGGTCAGGTCTGGACGCTGTCGAGCAAGTCTTTGGCCTTTGATTCAATGATCGCAAAACTTTTTCAATTCCTGATTGGAGCAAGCGTGTCCTGACATTTCTTGTCCTGCCCTGCGACGGCAGCATCTCTTGAATTACCTTACCGACGGTGCACAGCCATGAACATACCTGGAATTCCAGCACTGCGAAAAAGCGGGCGCGCAGTGAAGGAGTGCTAGATCTACCTGTTCCCATCTTCACCCAAGTACCCCCAAGCGCGCACGCTCACATTCAGACTTCTGCTTGAATGCTCGGCTCGGCGTGGCTCAATTGCAAGGCCGAGAAGGACAGTTCACGGCACGCGCATCAGATATTTGCTCCTCATCCCATTCGGAGAATACAAAGACTACCTGTCCGTGCCTCTGACTCTTACTCATACAGTCTCTACCCTGCACTGCAGGGAGCATCGCACGGACTCGTCGTTGGAAAGAGATTCTGAGATTCTTGATAAGCCTTTTCAGCCCTAGGCCCTAGGCGAACCTATGCTGTCTGCTAAACGACCGGAAGCCTTGAGCGAAGGGCTCACAGCTCTCGTCCCGGTGACTGGATGCGGCAATCTCGGAGACTTCGGTGCACTTTGCAGGCGCTCGCCGGGAGCGCAAGAATCATGTTCAACTTGAAAGGTGCATGACGCAGAATTTTCAAAGCAGATGACCTTGGGTTGAGCAGTAAATGATCTTGCTTTAATCGCTTGCCAGGGATGATGGCCTGCTCAGAACCAACAAGCCATTACATGAAGTGGGCCTTGTGTCGGACTGGCTAAATGGAAGCAATTGATTGGTCTTTGCCGCTTGCGTGCAAACGTTACCTGGTCCTGTGCCAAGCAGCACGCGCAACCCCCATTCTTATTGCAAGAAATACTCTTCGTGCTTCAGGGTTTGTACACGCCGACTTGACTTCTCCTGCCAGTTCTGTTTCAATTGCAAGTGCTGCCACCCGGGCTGCCACTGTAGATAGCTGCCTGGGTGAGAGCAGGACTTATGCAGCACTGAATGCTTTTTCGCGTGGATGGCCGGCAATCTCGCTGGCACAGGCACTCCGCCCGGTCCGCACCATGTTAGTAGCTCAGTCGGAGACTTCTAGACAGCATGCCGTATTTCAAAGCTCCTTGTGCTACTGTCTGTAGGCACGGAGCGTCGGTGGAGCAGCTTCACGACTCGCTGTTCGACTCTCAGACGACCGCAGGCTAACGACGCCTGCCGCATCCTGCCGCAAAGCCAAGGCCCGAGACCGTGGTAGCTATCGAGATTATCGAGACAGGCAGGTTGCGGCGTTGATGCCAGCGCCGCAAGATGTCAGCAATTCCAAGCAGGATTGAGCAAGCCATCGCTCTGACATGGACTATGGCTGGTGTCGTGCTCAGAGGGCCCGGAGGTGCTCTCATTTTGGAAAGGCAGAGACAAGCGTGTCGAGGTGTGGACTGGCTGGAGTCTTTGCAGTGCTCTTGGTGGTCTGCTACACAGTTCTCCGTGCTTCCATGTGCTTCCTGGTGATGTACCTAAGCGTCCAGTTTCTCCTTCTCGTGGCCCGAGATAGCTGCCACCCTCGGCTTCATCCAAATCTTCGGGTTGTGGACATGGCAGGCATGGAGGACCCGAGCTCAAAAAAGTACGGAGGATGAAGACTGGTCGCCCTTGCGATCTGATATGAGGAAGCTCTACGCGTCGGAGGTCCTGCTCTGGATGGTGTTCCTGGTGTTGTCTCTTGTCATCGCCAAAGTCTTCGCCACAGCCATGTTCCCAGACTCTCGTTTCTACCCGTACTACGTAGTAAATGCTTCTCCTTCAATGGCACTTGCGAGCCTGTGCTTGCAAGGTGGTCCATGTGACAATCACATTCTGCAAGATTCGACAATATCGAGCTTTGATCCATACGGCTGTGCACAATCAGGACTGGCCGTGTGAGCATGTCGCAAGCTACTGCCGAGCAACTCCGCAGCCGTCACTCGACTTATTCCAGCACAGAACACAAGCAGCCTGAGCAGTGCGTGAAGGCGCGCTCATCACATTACATATCAAAATGGGCGGAGAAGCAAATTTAATTTGGCCGCCACAACTGCAAGCCATTGCTGTTTTTATCTTGCATCCAAAGTCTTGGCGTGGCCACTAAGGGGCCTGGAGTGTATATTCCGAAAGCTTTCGCCTGAGCTAATACTGTAGCCATCAGCTACCATGATGGCACGTAGTGGCCGCTTACATGTTGAAAGGCTTCTCGAAGTCTTGCCGAAGGCAGTGCCGTTCGTCATCGGATTCGAAAACCGACTAATGCAGACAAATGCTATATCGATAAGTTTGACGTTGTTCAATTTTGCACAACAGCGGGGCATAGCCGGACGGTCGTACAAGACTTCTGCAGCAGTAGACTCATGGTGAAGTCGTTTGAATGGGGTCTGTCGCAGCCTTAAGCTTTGCCAGGACCCGAGACGGAGTGGCAAGGCACCGTGGCGGGCGGTACCGGTTCTCTCGAAGTTTTGCAAAGTCCAAGTGGGCAGATTTCACCCATCTGCATGAATTGTGGAAGGCAAGTCTAGATCGGATTCTGGTGGCACAGGTCCAGAAGGTACTGATCTGCCACGCGTCGGTTGGGTCTGGCCACTCCAGGGCCGCGCAGGCCAGCGATGGGTGTTAGTGGCAGTCGGAGTGAGAGATGATCGGAGTGAGTGGAAAGTAGATGGGATCTTCTGCGGATGCGGAACGTTATCTGTGTGCGTGTGTCATGGTGTGGTGGAGCTCGACGCAGTGGCATGTGCAAGTCGTTTAACATGCATGCGAAATCAAGCCCCACTTGCAAATCGTTGCGCACCACAGCTCAAAGACTCATTCCGCAAGTTCCATGCCAATCAACTTCACCACAGAGTGACCATATAGAGATGGAGTTCGTGCAGACTTAGGAGGTCGTCCCTACATCTGGGAAGCCTCTCCACTGACTTTCTTTGCCAAACAAGCGCTTGCATGATGTGATTTTGCTTTACGCTACCAGAGGCCCTGGCGTCCGCTGTGAGCCGGTTGGACGAGTCTGTGGAAGTGCGTGTGGTGGATCTCATGGAGCCCCCTTATGCTGCCACGGCCTTATTTGCAGCCGGTAAGCCAGACGGGGAATCGTCGCCCTTGCCCAATGGCGGTTTGCCATTTCGATCTCAGGATCGCACCTTGATTTATTTCTACAAAGACTGGCCCGCTTGTCTTACTCGCAGATTGCCTTCTTGTATTTAGGATGTCTAGGCCTTACGTGCGGCAGGTACTTGCGTCTGGTTGGAGGAGAGACAGTGTGCGGAAATCTGGGCGGACTGTTTGTCGGCTTTCTCTTCGATCGCGCGAACAACGTCCACGACTCCTTCACTGGCGGCAACGCACTTCAACGCCGCATTACACAGAGCTTCTTGCTCAATTTTATGCAGCTGGTGCCGGATCCTCAAAACATTGGCAAAGCATCACGAACAATAGATGCCGGTTGTGAACGGCTCCGTATACAATGTAGGCTGGCCTGCCTTGTTCACTCTCGGATTTTGGTCTCCAGACAGGACTTGCGGATGGTCCTGCACACATTTGTCACATAGCTACACGAAAATACACTTGCTGCGCAATTTACCAATCCTTACCACACAGTCCTTCGACGCCCAACTAAAGTTGAACATTTTCACCATGTCATGTCACGGCCCAGTTTGCTCTTTCCCCTGTACTTGCATGAAACTCCACAAAATACTCGCATTAATGGCCATAGGTTCATAGGTTCTGCGGAAGTTCAAGTAATAGCATCATCGCGGAGTTTCTGGCCGAATCATTCACCATTCATTGCCCGTTATGTGTGCATTGGGATGATTAACAGATCACTGCAGCAACAGCCACCGGCTAGTTATCATGATCTCTTGCATCTACTTCTCCTACTGGAACCCTATCGGCACCCGGCCCTTGTCGGATGTGCCGAAAGCACTCTGCCCTCCCGTCGTGCTGGCTGTCACAGTGGCTCCAGCAGTGGGGCCCCTAACATGCTGAGAGTCATCCTAGCCGGGACCGGAACCGAAAATAGGCGATGTGCCGGAACTGAAAACGGCTGTCGGATCAGAAGCCGTTAGAGGGCACAAAGACAGACGAGGAAATGGGCACACCGTCTGAACTCTTCATTCGTTCCGGGTCTCCCTCATCGGTGTCTGTCGCTTCCGTGGGTCCGCGCACAAATAGCCGAACGGTTGCTGGCCTCTGTGGGCCGTGATTCAGGAGCGTAGCTTTAGCCAACCATCGCTACTCTGTGCTGTTGAGTTCCATCAGTGTCCACAATCGCATGCAAGAGAAAAACATCATGCATGACTGTCTGATCGACAGACTAGTTGCCGCCTCATGATTTGTATGTCAATGTTTGTCAGTGTGTATATATAATTATATATATATATATGTAATTACGTAATTATATGTACATAGATACGCCATTGCCGAGGTGCGAAGCAAAGCCAGATGTTATGGTCTGGCCTGCCAATTGTCGGAAGCAGGGCGTGCTTGTGCGTCCCCACGCCCCAGTAGATACATATTACTGTAGCTTCCGTTTCATGTCTCATGATGTGTCATGGCATGGCTGCTTTACGATGCGAATCAGAGCTGATTCGTGCCCACTAGTGGCACGGTCAGCACTTGGAGCCACCTAGATGGCACACACTGTTCGAACATGTTCACTACATGAGGAGATCTAGCAGTGACCATGGCAGGTCCACACTCATTTTTTGGCTCCGGAACTGGTTGCATCTCTGCGCCGCAGGCCTCTCTGCAGATAGCATGGGCTTTCAGGTTCATGATTGTTCAATGCGCTTGCCCGCTTTTTCTGGGTGCTCGTCTTCCTCTTGAGGCATGGGCTGAAAGTTCCGCAGGTGACCGTGGTCTTTGCCCCGTCTGCAGCTTTTGGTCTGGCCCATGTGCTGACACCGTCTGACATTTCAGGTCACCGACATGGATGTACATGCATGGTGGTATCAGCAGTTCCTGTCCCAGTCGCAAATCAGCCTTGTGTGTCATTGTG